GTGGGTGGGTGGTGGGTGGTGGAATAGGGATGTGACAGAGGGTAGGTGGCATGGGGCGGAGGGCTGGGGGACAGGGGAGAGGGGTGCACGAGGGCGACGGTGCCACGCCTCCAAGCCAGCCCTGGCCTGGATTGCAAGGCTAAGGGCACTGCTGCTGCATGAACCGACAGGGCCGCCCGCTCGCCCGCTCATACATGCGTGCCGGCCGCCGACTAGGCGCCCCCGCAAATCAGGGCGCCCGGGCCGCCGGACGCCAGGCAGCCCCAAAGCCGCATGCGTGGCCGCGGCGCGCCAAACCGCCCATGCGCGCCACAGATACTCGAAATGCACAAAGGGAATCGTAATAAATGCCCCGTCGCCCTCCGCCGACGCTTGTTTTGCCCCCGTTCATGCATGATGGCCTGTGCGCGCCCCACGCGCCCACCCGCGTTTGCGAGGCCGTGTGCTACGTGGAAGCGCGCCCCCAGCTTGTGCGCCATGGAGTGGCATATGCCCAGGAACGCGTTGGCAAAGGACATGCCCGCGATGGTGGCCGCGTAGTGCACCTGGGGGCAGGGACGAGGGGCCGCAGTCCAGGGGCCGCGGTAACGTAATGTGTGAGAGCGCGCTATGGTGGTGCCACGCACTGCGCACGCCAGGCGGGCGCGGCGGCGACGCGTGGCTGCGGGCTGACAAGCTGCCAGGCGTGCCCCCCCGAGCCCCGGATACTTGGAACCGAGAGCAACACGCCCAGCAAGCACACACACACACACACACACACACACACACACACACACACACACACACACACACGCACATTCACACACATTCACATACACACACACTGTCCACTCGCCCCCCCCCACCTTCTCCCTGGCCTTGAGGTCCCTGTCTCCGCTGGCGTAGGCCGTGGGCAGGTACTTGAACAGGATGCGGATCGCCTCCTTCGCCAGGCCGCGCGTGTAGTCTGGAGGGGGGAACGGCGACAAGAGGGGCAGCGGGGCAGTTGCCGGGAGAGAGAAGAGTCGGGTTGCCAAGTGGCAATGCCCGCGATTTGCACAGAGTCGCGAAAAACGTGTACTTCTTATGCGCAAGATCAGGTGTATTGCATGCAGATTGGCGCCATTTACAGGCGAGGCCATGCCAGGAAACCGTCTGGCTGGGGTTCTCAAGGTGCAGGCAGGCAAAGGGGACGCTGTGGCGAAGGAGCGGCGGGGCCCGCCCGCACGGCGCGCCGCGCACCCACCTGTGGCGTAGATCGATACGTACGACTCGAGGGCGTGTGTGAGGGCGTCGATGCCGCCGTAGGCCGTGAGCTTCTTGGGCATGGACATCACCAGCTGGGGGGGGGGGGGGGTTCAGGGTTTCAGGGTTGTGAGTGGGTGGTTGGGCAGGTGACAAGTGGAGCGATGGTGGTGGTGTGAAGGGCAAGGCAGCCTGCAGGGTGCACAAAGAGCGTAACATTGCGTGGCATCTGGGTGGTGTAGAGAGGGCGGAGGTGCTCGTGTGCAGTAACGCACAACAGGGCAGGTGCTCCAACAACCAGGCTTGCCAAGATTGAGTGGCGGAGCAAAGGTAGAGGCGCGGCCAGGTTTTGGCGGCGCAGCAACGAGCCTTGGCAAAGTGGTACCCGGGCCTCACGTGAGGGTCCACGATGGCCATGGTGGGGGTCAGGGCGTAGTCAGCCAGGGGGTACTTCTCACCGCTGACCTGGCGGGACGAATTGCATTGGTAGGCGCGGCAGCGGCAATGGGGTGAGCGCCACGCTGCAGCAGATGCGGCGCGAGTCTTGCGGCGGCCGCCGCCGTGACTGCCCACAGCCATCGGGGCGAGGTTGCCCTTGTGCCCGCGCCCCCAGGCCCCTGCAAGCCTCAATCGCGACCGCCGCCACGGCTCTACCGCACCACCACCGCAGCATCCTTCCTGCAATGTCGCTGCCCCAAGACGGCGCCAGCCGCGCAAGGCAGCCGACGGGGCAGACCCCAACCGCCCTCAGCAGCACCGCAGCAACATCCTGGATAATCCGCCCGCGCCTCACCTCGTCCGTGACGACCGAGAAGGGCGTGACCTCCGAGCCCGTCCCGCTGGTGGTGGGTATGCACACCATGTCGGCCCTGGCGCCCAGCTTGGGCAGCTCGTAGACGCGCTTGCGTATGTCCATGAAGCGCATGGCCACGCCGTCAAACTTGGTGTCAGGCTGCTCGTAAAGCAGCCACATGATCTTTGGGGGGTGTGCGGAGGGGGGGGGGGGAAAGGCCGGGAGGGACACCAGGCAAACGTTGATAAGTGAGGCATGGATGATTGCACTCAGTTTGGTTGGTGAACTTGCTTTATTTGTCTGTTTGCGGATGTCTGTGTGCCTGCGTGCACACCCAAGTGTGCACACTCCAGATGGAGTACGACAGCGCACCAGCTCAAGCGCTGCTGCCAGCCCTGTGTATGCAGGATGCTGCAGGACTGCTGCTACCCATCCAGGGGACCCCTGATGTACCCAGTACCCCGCAAACCACTCCAGGATCGAGATTGGGGCACAACGTCCCGCAGTACAACGTCTAGCCAGGGGTAGGCCCCCACCTTTGCGGCGTCCATGGGTGAGCCGCCCCCCAGTGCAATGATGACGTCGGGC